TACCAATCTCGAGTAGGGTCGGGAGCAGCCAGGACTGCCCACTGCAGCTCGCATTCGCCATTCGCGGTACAAGCAGCCTCGTTTTCGGATCAGGCTGGACCATCCAACTCTGATGACGGCTCCGCTGTGCGCTTGACGAAGCTCGCTGATTGGCTGGCTGGTTTGGGGCATAATCCGTTGGGGATTCGCCTAGAGATTGCTGACGTGGATGCGTCGTCAGCAGCAGGATCTACAGTGCATAGGGTCGGAGCAGTGGCAGGACCCGATGGGGTGAAGCAAGGGGATGTGACAGTAGCGGTGCCACATGCTGCAATCATGAACGTCCAGGTAAATCAATAGGCATGCGGTTACATTAACAGGTGACATGACTATAACGAGAGGTGGTGGATATATGCACGCACACCCGGCGCTATTCCCTGTAATCGCCTGAGTCACTGCATTATCTGAACCTTGTGCTCTAATCCCTGAACCCAACTCCCATAACCCTTAAACCCTGAACCCTCGGCCCCTCGTCCTCCCCCTCTCCCCAATCCCCAGAACTCAAAACCCACATTTTCCACCTCAAATCCACACCACCCTCCCCCACCATTTCCAGACAACCCTCAGACAGCAAGGGAGTGCCCTGCAATGGAGATCCCCAACTCCACAGCACCTCAAATAACCTTCCATCACCCCTTCCCACCCCTTTCCTACGCCACAAACCCCTCAGACAGCAATGGAGTGCCCTGTTATTGGTCCGCTGAGTCGTGCCGCTCAGCTGACAGGCTGGCAGACGCTGCTGCTGCACCTGCTGTGGGAGCGCGCCAAGGGGCAGGGAAGCTTCTGGGAAGCTTACATAGCCATGCTGCCAGATGAACAGGAGATGTCCCGTACACATCCCCTCATGCTCCCTGATGTGAGTGAGGAGGGTCGGCACATGCGCATGCATGTGAGTATAGTGAGAGGAAAAGTCGCCCTTTCTTGGCGCCTCCGCATCCCCGCATGCTCCCCGATGTGACTGTAGAGGGGTGACTCTGGTGTGACCGTTGATCCCCTGTATGAGTATAGTGCGAGAAATAGTGACCCTTTGTTGGCGCGTACCCATCCCCACATGCTCCCTGATGTGACTGTAGAGGTGTGACTCTGGTGTGACTATGTTCCCTGTGTGAGTATAGCACTCTTAACTCGTCCTTTTCCTCCCCCGACCCCCAAGAGTCATTCCTTTTGAGCTGACTTAATAGATGACCCATTGGGGGGCCCTGCTCATTCCGTTTGAGCTGACTTAAAAGATGACCCATTGGGGGGCCCTGCTCATTCCGTTTGAGCTGACTTAAAAGATGACCCATTGGGGGGCCCTGCTCATTCCGTTTGAGCTGACTTAAAAGATGACCCATTGGGGGGCCCTGCTCATTCCGTTTGAGCTGACTTAATAGATGACCCATTGGGGGGCCCTGCTCATTCCGTTTGAGCTGACTCAAAAGATGACCCATTGGGGGGCCCTGCTCATTCCTTTTGAGCTGACTTAAAAGATGACCCAATGGGGGGCCCTGCTCATTCCTTTTGAGCTGACTTAAAAGATGACCCATTGGGGGGCCCTGCTCATTCTGTTTGAGCTGACTTAAAAGATGACCCATTGGGGGGCCCTGCTCATTCCGTTTGAGCTGACTTAAAAGATGACCCATTGGGGGGCCCTGCTCATTCCGTTTGAGCTGACTTAAAAGATGACCCATTGGGGGGCCCTGCTCGTTCCTTTTGAGCTGACTTAAAAGATGACCCATCGGGGGGCCCTGCTCATTCCTTTTGAGCTGACTTAAAAGATGACCCATTGGGGGGCCCTGCTCATTCCGTTTGAGCTGACTTAAAAGATGACCCATTGGGGGGCCCTGCTCGTTCCTTTTGAGCTGACTTAAAAGATGACCCATCGGGGGGCCCTGCTCATTCCTTTTGAGCTGACTTAAAAGATGACCCATTGGGGGGCCCTGCTCATTCCTTTTGAGCTGACTTAAGAAACACCCTGCTGCATTTTCATGCAATCCCCCATTGTCACTCTGCGTGACTGCGTCCCAACTCAAAGCCTTTCCCTCTGCGTGACTGCGTCTCCACTCCCAACTCCATACAATCACACTCTTGAGTCGACTCAAAGCCTTTCCCTCTGTGTGTGTGATAAGTCGAGTTTTGAGTCGACTCAAAACCCCCATTGTCACTCTGCGTGACTGCGTCCCCACTCCCAACTCAATACAATCACACTCTTGAGTCGACTCAAAGCCCTTCCCTCTTTGTATGCCCGTTCCTCCCTCCCTGCTCCTCGCCTTCCACACCAGGACTGGCTCCGCTATTGGTTGCAAGGCTCCCCGCTGCTCCAAACCATCCAATCACGCGGCAACATGTGCAGGTGCCTGTCCCCTTGCTCCTACAGTCACATCAACTGGCTTTCCTCGCTCGTCTATTCTCGGTTGTTTTACGAGCTTGGCCTTTTTTTTTTTTTTTTGGGCCCAAAACACATCCTTGTCATTTCACCCTGCAACTTGTTGCGCGTCCTCTACCCATCCACCAGGGATGATGCTGCAGCGATTGGTCTTTGAGTCGACTCAAAAGTCACCTCATCCTTGTCATTTCACCCAGCCCACCAACTTGTTGCGCGTCCTCTACCCATCCACCAGGGATGATGCTGCAGCGATTGGTCTTTGAGTCGACTCAAAAGTCACCTCATCCTTGTCATTTCACCCAGCCCACCAACTTGTTGCGCGTCCTCCACCCATCCACCAGGGATGATGCTGCAGCGATTGGTCTTTGAGTCGACTCAAAAGTCACCTCATCCTTGTCATTTCACCCAGCCCACCAACTTGTTGCGCGTCCTCCACCCATCCACCAGGGATGATGCTGCAGCGATTGGTCTTTGAGTCGACTCAAAAGTCACCTCATCCTTGTCATTTCACCCAGCCCACCAACTTGTTGCGTGTCCTCCACCCATCCACCAGGGATGATGCTGCAGCGATTGGTCTTTGAGTCGACTCAAAAGTCACCTCATCCTTGTCATTTCACCCAGCCCACCAACTTGTTGCGCGTCCTCTACCCATCCACCAGGGATGATGCTGCAGCGATTGGTCTTTGAGTCGACTCAAAAGTCACCTCATCCTTGTCATTTCACCCAGCCCACCAACTTGTTGCGCGTCCTCCACCCATCCACCAGGGATGATGCTGCAGCGATTGGTCTTTGAGTCGACTCAAAAGTCACCTCATCCTTGTCATTTCACCCAGCCCACCAACTTGTTGCGCGTCCTCTACCCATCCACCAGGGATGATGCTGCAGCGATTGGTCTTTGAGTCGACTCAAAAGTCACCTCATCCTTGTCATTTCACCCAGCCCACCAACTTGTTGCGCGTCCTCCACCCATCCACCAGGGATGATGCTGCAGCGATTGGTCTTTGAGTCGACTCAAAAGTCACCTCATCCTTGTCATTTCACCCAGCCCACCAACTTGTTGCGCGTCCTCCACCCATCCACCAGGGATGATGCTGCAGCGATTGGTCTTTGAGTCGACTCAAAAGTCACCTCATCCTTGTCATTTCACCCAGCCCACCAACTTGTTGCGTGTCCTCCACCCATCCACCAGGGATGATGCTGCAGCGATTGGTCTTTGAGTCGACTCAAAAGTCACCTCATCCTTGTCATTTCACCCAGCCCACCAACTTGTTGCGCGTCCTCTACCCATCCACCAGGGATGATGCTGCAGCGATTGGTCTTTGAGTCGACTCAAAAGTCACCTCATCCTTGTCATTTCACCCAGCCCACCAACTTGTTGCGCGTCCTCTACCCATCCACCAGGGATGATGCTGCTGCGTTGGTAGCGGCAGGAGCAAACAAATTACCTTTGCCATCACAGCAGCAGCTGCAGCAGCAGCAACAACAACAACAACAACTGGGATCAGAGCAGTCGGTACGGTGGGCTGCCAGTGTGCTTCTCAGCAGAGCCTTCGCCCTCGACCTGTCACTGGACCCTGTCAAGGTGCCCTCCCACTCTCTTCCTTTCCCCCGCACTCTCCTCCGCTCCCACTCTCCTCCGCTCCCACTCTCCCCCACTCTCACTCTCACCCTCCGTCCTCGACCTGTCACGGGACCCTCTCAAAGTGTACGCCTGCTGTTTCCCCTCGCACTCTCCTTTCCTCTCACTCTCACCCTTCGCCCTTGACCTCTCACTCTCACCCTTCGCCCTTGACCTCTCACTCTCACCCTTCGCCCTCGACCTGTCACTCGACCCTCTCAAGGTATGAGACGTCTCAAAGCCCTTGACCTCTCACTGGACTCTCTCAAGGTGTGCTGCTTGCTAAGGTGTGCGGTGCGCCTGATGTTTCCCCTCGCACTCTCCTCTCCTTTCCTCTCACTCTCACCCTTCGCCCTTGACCTGTCACTTGCCCCTCTCAAGGTGCGCCTTTTTTTTACTTGTCGCACTCCTGTCCCGTCCCCCAGCCATTCGCACGTGATGGCATCACCACACCACACCACACCACACCATACCATACCACACCACACCATACCAGGCCTCGCCCTCTGCCTTGTCCCCTCGGCGAATTGCCTTTCCACGCCTGCCTCCCCTAGCCCTGGCCTCCCCTATCCTCGTGCCTCCCTATCCTCGTGCCTCCCTATCCTCGTGCCTTCCCAATCCTCCTTTTCCCTGTCCTTCAGCCATTCCCAGGGGATGACATATTTTAACACCAGGCCTCACCCTCTGCCTCGTCCCCTGGGCCGACTGCCTCAACCACAGCAGCACAGAGTCACTGTTGAATCCTATCTTGCTTCTCTTACTCTCTCTTCCCTCTGTTCCTCCTTGTCCTTGTCCTTCAGCCATTCCCAGGGGATGACATCTCAACACCAGGCCTCACACTCTGCCTCGTCCCCTGGGCCGACTGCCTCAACCACACCAGCACCTGCAGCACCGGCATCTCCCTTCTTCCATTTCTCTTCTCTCTTGCTTCTTTTCTCTTCTCCCTCTTGTCTCCCGTTCCCCAGCCATTCCCAGGAGATGACATCAGCACATCGAGCCTCACCCTCTGCCTCGTCCCCTGGGCCGACTGCCTCAACCACAGCAGCACCAGCAGCACTGCTCTCTCTCGTCTCCCATCTCTCACCTCCTCTTTCATCCGTTCCTCCCTTTCCCTTCTTCCTCTTGTCTCCTGTTCCCAAGCCATTCCCGGGTGGTAACATCTCAACACTAGGCTGCAACCACAGCAGCACCAGCAGCACTGCGCTCTGCCTTCTCCCATCTCTCGTCTCCCATCTCTCTTCTCCCATCTCTCTTCTCCCATCTCTCTTCTCCCATCTCTCTTCTCCCATCTCTCTTCTCCCATCTCTCTTCTCCCATCTCTCTTCTCCCATCTCTCTTCTCCCATCTCTCTTCTCCCATCTCTCTTCTCCCATCTCTCTTCTCCTCTTCCTTCTTTCCTTTTCTCCCCCTTGCCCCTTGTGCCCCAGCCATTAGTCGAGTTTTGAGTCGACTCAAAACTCGCCTCTTGCCCCTTGTGCCCCAGCCATTCCCAGGTGATGACATCAGCACACCAGGCCTCACCCTGTGACTCGTCCCCTGGGCTGACTGTCTCAACCACAGCAGCACAGCCACTGTCCTCTCCCATCAAGTCATCTCTTCCTCTCTCTCCCACCTGCTCTCCCTCTTGCCCTCTGTGCCCCACCCCCAGCCATTCCCAGGAGATGACATCAGCACGCCAGGCCTCACCCTCTGCCTCGTTCCCTGGGCAGACTGTCTCAACCACAGCAGCACAGCCACCGTCCTCTCCCATCAAGTCATCTCTTCCTCTCTCTCCCACCTGCTCTCCCTCTTGCCCTCTGTGCCCCACCCCCAGCCATTCCCAGGAGATGACATCAGCACGCCAGGCCTCACCCTCTGCCTCGTTCCCTGGGCAGACTGTCTCAACCACAGCAGCACTGCCACCGTCCTCTCCTGCCTAACCTACGACCCTGACTCCCGGACCGCCAGGCTCGGTGCGCACCGAGCCTACGCGCCAGGCTCGGAGGTGTTTGACTCGTACGGCCCGTGGCTGAGCCCCAGGCAGCTGTATCTGGACCATGGGTTTGTGGATGAAGTGGTGTTTGAGGGGATTCTGGCTTCTAACGAGACGACTCTTAACGAAGCATTCCTTAGGGAAGTGGCAGGAAGGGAGGAGCGAGAGGAAGGGGAGCAGGATGAAGGGGAGGAGGATGAGGAGTGGGAGGGGGATGAGATGGAGGAAGTGGGAGCGGAAGTGGAGCAGGGCAGCTGGATGGGGTTTACGGCCCACATTGACCACGTGATTGAGTTGCCTGTAAGAATCTCCAGGTGATATACCACTTTTTGAGGCACCCCCAAATATTGCCAGGCCAGGTAGGTGGACGGGGTTGACAGCCCACATCGACCACGTGATAGAGATGCCTGTAAGACCGCCGTATAGCTGTCCTGTTTTGTTTCTATTCTCAACGTAGTGCTTACCAATGGGGTACCTGTCCGAGCATGTATAGGGGTGAGGTGAACACATAGGGGTGAGGTGAACACATAGGGGTGAGGTGAACACATAGGGGTGAGCTTTGTTTGCAGTTTGGGCTTTGAGCTTAGGGGTTAGGGGTTAGCCTTCCTCAGGCACTGTGGCAAGATCTTCTGTCTGTCTGTCCTCAGGCCCCCAATTTCCTTCATGCCTCTCGTTCCCCACCTCATGAGTCATGCCTGTCCCCTCAACCCCCCATCAGGCGAACACCTTGGGGAAAATTAACAGCACTCTCAACGCGTCCCTGCTGGAGGCAGCAGGTCTCCCAATTGGTGAGTGTGCCTCTGTCATCATGCCGCTATCACACAATTACATCACTCCCCACACGCATGCACCTTGGGACGGTATAGCAGCACAGCACTCTCAACAACACTTCTCTGCTGGAGGCGGCAGGCCTTCCCATCGGTGACTGTGTGGGCCTGTGTTGCAGTGCCACTATAACACAACTGTTTCTTTCACGCATGCACCTTGGGACGGTTTAGCAGCACAGCACTCTCATCAACACTTCTCTGCTGGAGGCGGCAGGCCTTCCCATTGGTGAGTAAGCCTATGCACCTTGACCCCCCTCCCACCTCGTGTTGGTGGAAATAAGGCCTCCGCAGCTCACCTGTCCGCTGCTTTTGACAGGCCCCCCTCCCACCTGTCCGCTTTCGACAGGCCCCCCTCCCCCCTCCCACCTGTCCGCTTTCGACAGGCCCCCCTCCCTCCTCCCACCTGTCCGCTTTCGACAGGCCCCCCTCCCACCTGTCTGCTGCTTTTGACAGGCCCCCCTCCCACCATCGGGCCCCCCTCCCACCATCGGGCCCCCCTCCCACCATCGGGCCCCCCTCCCACCATCGGGCCCCCCTCCCTCCATCGGGCCCCCCTCCCTCCATCGGGCCCCCCTCCCTCCATCGGGCCCCCCTCCCTCCATCGGGCCCCCCTCCCTCCATCGAGCCCCCCTCCCTGAGAATGCTGGCTCTGGTTAAAATTCCTGCTTTGGATTTTCTGGCCCATCCCACCTCTCACTCACTACACACCTGGCTAAAAGCACTACAGCAAACAAGTGTGAGACAGTGAGGAGCTCCACCTGAAGTAGGAGCTCCGGTACGGTAGGTGGATCCTGAGTTTTGAGAATTCTCAGAGAATTCTAAAAAAACACTCGCTGCAATATATTTCCCTCCCAAGAAGTGTGAGACAGTGAGGAGCTCCGGTACGGTAGGTGGATCCTGACTTTGGTGAGGAGCTCCGGTACGGTAGGTGGATCCTGACTTTGGTGAGGAGCTCCGGTACGGTAGGTGGATCCTGACTTTGGTGAGGAGCTCCGGTACGGTAGGTGGATCCTGACTTTGGTGAGGAGCTCCGGTACGGTAGGTGGATCCTGACTTTGGTGAGGAGCTCCGGTACGGTAGGTGGATCCTGACTTTGGTGAGGAGCTCCGGTACGGTAGGTGGATCCTGACTTTGGTGAGGAGCTCCGGTACGGTAGGTGGATCCTGACTTTGGTGAGGAGCTCCGGTACGGTAGGTGGATCCTGACTTTGGTGAGGAGCTCCGGTACGGTAGGTGGATCCTGACTTTGGTGAGGAGCTCCGGTACGGTAGGTGGATCCTGACTTTGGTGAGGAGCTCCGGTACGGTAGGTGGATCCTGACTTTGGTGAGGAGCTCCGGTACGGTAGGTGGATCCTGACTTTGGTGAGGAGCTCCGGTACGGTAGGTGGATCCTGACTTTGGTGAGGAGCTCCGGTACGGTAGGTGGATCCTGACTTTGGTGAGGAGCTCCGGTACGGTAGGTGGATCCTGACTTTGGTGAGGAGCTCCGGTACGGTAGGTGGATCCTGACTTTGGTGAGGAGCTCCGGTACGGTAGGTGGATCCTGACTTTGGTGAGGAGCTCCGGTACGGTAGGTGGATCCTGACTTTGGTGAGGAGCTCCGGTACGGTAGGTGGATCCTGACTTTGGTGAGGAGCTCCGGTACGGTAGGTGGATCCTGACTTTGGTGAGGAGCTCCGGTACGGTAGGTGGATCCTGACTTTGGTGAGGAGCTCCGGTACGGTAGGTGGATCCTGACTTTGGTGAGGAGCTCCGGTACGGTAGGTGGATCCTGACTTTGGTGAGGAGCTCCGGTACGGTAGGTGGATCCTGACTTTGGTGAGGAGCTCCGGTACGGTAGGTGGATCCTGACTTTGGTGAGGAGCTCCGGTACGGTAGGTGGATCCTGACTTTGGTGAGGAGCTCCGGTACGGTAGGTGGATCCTGACTTTGGTGAGGAGCTCCGGTACGGTAGGTGGATCCTGACTTTGGTGAGGAGCTCCGGTACGGTAGGTGGATCCTGACTTTGGTGAGGAGCTCCGGTACGGTAGGTGGATCCTGACTTTGGTGAGGAGCTCCGGTACGGTAGGTGGATCCTGACTTTGGTGAGGAGCTCCGGTACGGTAGGTGGATCCTGACTTTGGTGAGGAGCTCCGGTACGGTAGGTGGATCCTGACTTTGGTGAGGAGCTCCGGTACGGTAGGTGGATCCTGACTTTGGTGAGGAGCTCCGGTACGGTAGGTGGATCCTGACTTTGGTGAGGAGCTCCGGTACGGTAGGTGGATCCTGACTTTGGTGAGGAGCTCCGGTACGGTAGGTGGATCCTGACTTTGGTGAGGAGCTCCGGTACGGTAGGTGGATCCTGACTTTGGTGAGGAGCTCCGGTACGGTAGGTGGATCCTGACTTTGGTGAGGAGCTCCGGTACGGTAGGTGGATCCTGACTTTGGTGAGGAGCTCCGGTACGGTAGGTGGATCCTGACTTTGGTGAGGAGCTCCGGTACGGTAGGTGGATCCTGACTTTGGTGAGGAGCTCCGGTACGGTAGGTGGATCCTGACTTTGGTGAGGAGCTCCGGTACGGTAGGTGGATCCTGACTTTGGTGAGGAGCTCCGGTACGGTAGGTGGATCCTGACTTTGGTGAGGAGCTCCGGTACGGTAGGTGGATCCTGACTTTGGTGAGGAGCTCCGGTACGGTAGGTGGATCCTGACTTTGGTGAGGAGCTCCGGTACGGTAGGTGGATCCTGACTTTGGTGAGGAGCTCCGGTACGGTAGGTGGATCCTGACTTTGGTGAGGAGCTCCGGTACGGTAGGTGGATCCTGACTTTGGTGAGGAGCTCCGGTACGGTAGGTGGATCCTGACTTTGGTGAGGAGCTCCGGTACGGTAGGTGGATCCTGACTTTGGTGAGGAGCTCCGGTACGGTAGGTGGATCCTGACTTCGGTGAGGAGCTCCGGTACGGTAGGTGGATCCTGACTTCGGTGAGGAGCTCCGGTACGGTAGGTGGATCCTGACTTTGGTGAGAAGTCCCACCCTCTCACTCACCTCACACCTGGCTAAAAGAAGCACTACAGCAGGCTGGCTTTGGCTAAAGCTTTGAGGGGCCCCTATGCTGGCTTATCCTCTCAAAACTCGACTCACTCACTTCACACCTGGCTAAAAGAAGCACTACAGCAGGCTGGCTTTGGCTAAAGTCGCCCCCCCCTCCTCCCGTCCCCACCCTCTCACCTCACACCTTGTCTCCCTTCCCCCTCAACAGACTCTTCTCACTTCTCCCACTCTCCTTCCAGCCCTCATTACCATAATGGCTTGGCTTTTGAGTCGACTCAAAAGTCAACTCACCTTGTCTCCCTTCCCCCTCAACACACTCTCTCCCTCCCACTTCTCCCACTCTCCTTCCGGCCCTCATGACCATAATGGCTTGGCCAAGGGCCTCCATTTTTGAAGCGCCTCTTGAGGCGATTTTTGAGGCGCCTCAAAAATGCCCTCATGACCATAATGGCTTGGCCAAGGGCCTCCCCTCCTTCCTCACACCTTCACCCCTCCCCTCTTCGCACCCTCTCCCCTCTTCACACCCTCTCACCTCTCCCGGTCCTTGCTCCCCTTTCTCCTCTTCCCCACTACAGACTCTTCCCGCTTCTCGCTCACTCCCGCCGGCCCTGATGACAGCATAGTGACGTGGCTAAGGGCCGCCCTGGCTTCTCCTGCTGAGCTGGCAGCGGCAGGCTGGCGCCACGTGGACGCCTCTGATTGGCTGAGCGGCGGCCGCAGCTGGCGGTTGGAACAGAGAGCAGCAGCAGTGATGGGGAGGATTGCCGGGGGAGGCGTGACTGGGGAAGAGACGGAGAGAGAGGTGAGTAGAGGCGGGCTGGGTTTGCATGGGGGACTTGAGGTGCTTTCTGAAAGTCCCACGGATCTGTGCTCATGAAGAAGGGCAGCAGTAGGCAAGGTCGCCTTTAAAAGCTTGGGGACTTGAGGTGCTTTCTGAAAGTCCCACGGATCTGTGCTCATGAAGAAGGGCAGCAGTAGGCAAGGTCGCCTTTAAAAGCTTGGGGACTTGAGGTGCTTTCTGAAAGTCCCACGGATCTGTGCTCATGAAGAAGGGCAGCAGTAGGCAAGGTCGCCTTTAAAAGCTTGGGGACTTGAGGTGCTTTCTGAAAGTCCCACGGATCTGTGCTCATGAAGAAGGGCAGCAGTAGGCAAGGTCGCCTTTAAAAGCTTGGGGACTTGAGGTGCTTTCTGAAAGTCCCACGGATCTGTGCTCATGAAGAAGGGCAGCAGTAGGCAAGGTCGCCTTTAAAAGCTTGGGGACTTGAGGTGCTTTCTGCGCTTTATGGGATTCACAGGCTGGGCTACACCCTTCTGACTCGTTTGAGTGCCTTACAGAAATGGAGTCGAGGTGACCTTTGAGCTGACAAGACAAGATAAGGTACACCGAGTTGACTTCTTGAGTCAACTCAAAAGCCAACCGGTACACCGAGTTGACTTCTTGAGTCAACTCAAAAGCCAACTGGTACACCCCGGAGACACAGGACCTCGAGGTGACTTGTGATTTGACTCAAAAGTCAGTGAATCGTGTGTAAGTGCCCCTCTTCTCAGTAAGCTGTGTTTCTTCACTTGCAAGGGTACCGAACAGCAAGAGAGGAAGTTGCCTACATTTGAGTCGACTCAAAAGTAACTGCAAGAGAGGATGTTGCCTGCTCCAACACTCACTCTTCCCCTCCTCTACCCTTCCTCTCTCCCCCAATGACTTTTGAGTCGACTCAAAAGTCACTCTTCTCCAACACTCACTCTTCCCCTCCTCTACCCTTCCTCTCCCCCCCAATGACTTTTGAGTCGACTCAAAAGTCACTCTTCTCCGACACTCACTCTTCCCCTCCTCTACCCTTCCTCTCCCCCCCAATGACTTTTGAGTCGACTCAAAAGTCACTCTTCTCCGACACTCACTCTTTCCCTCCTCTACCCTTCCTCTCCCCCCCAATGACTTTTGAGTCGACTCAAAAGTCACTCTTCTCCGACACTCACTCTTCCCCTCCTCTACCCTTCCTCTCCCCCCCAATGACTTTTGAGTCGACTCAAAAGTCACTCTACCCTTCCTCTCCCCCCCAATGACTTTTGAGTCGACTCAAAAGTCACTCTTCTCCGACACTCACTCTTCCCCTCCTCTACCCTTCCTCTCCCCCCCAATCCCCCCGACCAGGTATATCACCGCCTCATCTCTGCCGCTTGATCACAGCTGCAAGGGTACCGAGCAACCATAGAGGAGGACATTACCCTGCTGTAACTCTACTTCTCTCACTCTCCCCCCTTCTCCTCCCCTTCCCAGGTATACCTCCGCCTCATTTCCGCTGGTCAATCGCAGCTGCAAGGGTACCGAACAACCATAGAAGAAGACATAGCCCTGCTGTACAACGCACCGCGGTGTAAAGAGCCCGAGAGGTGGGCGGTGGCAGCAGTATTGAGTGAGAAGCTGGCTCTATTAGGTGCTGCCCAGGCAATGGATGGTTAATTCATCAACTCAAGAGCTTTGAGGTAGGGAGGACGCTGCCTTGCTGTTTCAGTGCACCCCAGAGCAAGGCGCCTGAGAGATGGCCGGTCGCAGCGGTTTTGAGTGAGAAGCTGGCTCTAGCTAGTGCTATCCAGGCGATGCAATGCAATGTGATTGATTGACGTATAAGGTGTGGAAATAAAAGAGGACGCTGTCTTGCTGTTCAGAGCACCCCACAGCAAGGCGCCTGCAAGATGGGTGGTGGCAGCCGTATTGAGTGAGAAACTGGCTCTGGCTGGTGCCGTTCAGGCAATGCAATGCGTTTGAGTTGACTCATAAGGTGTGGGAATAGAGGAGAACATTACTGTGGACGAGGACGTTCACCTCCTGTTCAGAGCACCCCAGAGCAAGGCGCCTGCAAGATGGGCGGTGGCAGCGGCATTAAGCGAGAAGCTGGCTCTGGCTGGTGCTATCCAGGCGCTGCAACGGCTTTAGGGGAGGACATTACCCTGCTGTTCAATGCCACACAGTGTGAAGAGCCCAAGAGGTGGGCAGTAGCAGCGGCATTGAGTAAGAAGCTGGCTCTGGCTGGTGACATTGAATCCAGGCACTGGACTGGACTGATTTCCATCGGGACAGGGGGCCATTGACCAACGGAGACGACTTTTGAGGCGCCTCGAAAAACACTGGCTGGTGACATGGAATCTAGGCACTGAACTGGACTGATTTGCATTGACACGAGGGGGCATTGACCAACTGCTTTGTGCATCCCAGAGATCTCACAGCAAGGCAACGGAGAGATGGGCAGCAGGAGCTGCGGTATTGAGTCAGAAGCTGGCTGTATCAGGTCAGGTGCTATTCAGGCAATGCAACGCATTGAGTTGAGTCGACTCGATGGGTTCGATAGTAAGGGGGGATGCTGCTGCCCTGCTGTTGCTCTGTGCACCCCAGAGAAGTGGAGCAATGCAAATCGTTCCCTACTCGTCTTGTCCTTCCACCATCATTACGATCCACCTGCAATGGATTATGGAATCGAGTCATTCTCAACACTGAGCCTCGGCTGCCCATTGCCCGAGCATTATTATGTTTTCAAGTCCGCTCTTCTCACTCGTTGAGGAAAGTGAGAGTGAGTGTATGTGAGTGTAGAGTGTACCACATATGCTGGTGTTATTGATAAAGTAGTCCAATTCATAGCAATTAAGCTTACAGGTGCAGGTACAGGAGTAAAAAAAACAGAAAGTTTAAAAACATTTTATTTCACAACGAATGATATATAGTCATGGCTAGAGAATAAATGAGGAGATAATAAAATATTAAAATTATATTAATAATAATTGAATAGTATAGTCGATAACAATATCAAAAAAACGAAACTGAATAATTAATACTGCACCATGTTTCAGATATCCCCGCTCTTCTGCCCCCAATCGAACCCGCTACGACAATCACACCTGTTGTCGCGTACCCGCCTGGTTCTCTCCCTCTCCACGCGCCACGCGACGAGCTCCACCTCAGGATCGCCGAGCACCCAGCTCCAGTACAGCAGCGCGTGAAACACGTCCTTGCGCGCCAATGCCTTGGGCTTGCCGTTGCGCCCAACCTCCTGCGCGCCCCCCGTGCGCGTGTTGCCTGTCGCGTTCAGCACCCCGCGCTCATCCACCCGCGTCACCAGCCAATCCACGCCGCGCCTCCCAACCTCCAGCAGTCGCGATCTAATTTCCTCTGATTCGGATTCGTCCTGAACATGCGGCACGACGTAGAGATAGTACCGAGCCGCGTAAACCAGCCCTATGCCTTGATAGCTGCAGTCGTAGCCTTGTCTTTCGTAATTAAAGCCCGCTGGATCCTGCATCGCCAGACCGCTTCGAATGTATTTAACTGATTGTTCGATTAGGGTTTGGTTCTCCGTTAGTAGCCCAGCCATGCCGAGAGCTGTGCCTGTTAGGTACCGCCTGTGCGTGTGAATCGCGTCGTTTCTCCACCCGATGCGCTCGATATCTGGTCGGACAAACCACGCCGCCATCGCCGCGACGTCGGAAGCGGCGTTGCGAATCCACCGTCTGTACTTCGGCTGGTTACCGAGTCGCGAGTGTCGCAGCAGCAGGGCGGCTCGGGCAGCTGACTCCAAGAAAAAACCCGCGCTGTGGTACACATCCGGGCAGCTGAAAGATCCGTTAGAATCCATCTGTTCGAATCCCCAATCGAAGATTTTCATTCCGAGGCGAATCCCGTTCGAATTGTTGAACGCCAAACCCGCTTGGATGAACAAAAACCCGTAATACTGTTCCTCGATATACCACGTTCCGGTACCCGTTACGTCGTAGTTCTGATTATGCCGCGAATACGCTCCGTTCTCGTTACAGTGTCCCTTGGAATCCTTATAACTCTTCACGTCCCTGTGGCCGTCCAGCGCGGTGCACATCGCAAACGCCGCGTCAAGCTCGACGTCTTGAGGACACGCCGCCGCTCTCGCCGTTCCGACGCGCCCGTTTCGAGTCGAAGCAATCTGCAAAGTATGCAGTTGTTCCGATTCAATCAGTGTGTCTTCATCGTTCTGATCCTCTTCGTACCGACCCCATGTTGCCGCCGTGCTGGTAGCCAAGAATGAGAGCCAACTCCCTCCAGCGGCGGAGCCCTCAACCAATCGTCTCCCCGCGAATCGCGCCGCAACTCGCGCCTCCTCGGAAGAACGAAGAGCCACCTGTGGATTGTTCCCCGTTGAAACCGCCGCAGCTGCGAGCATGATTCCATTAGATCGCGATGATGTCGATGATGAGTCACGTGCGGCTCGTACCGACGGGGTGGCGTGATCGTGACGCGGAACGCCGCCGCGTGGCGAGTAGAAATCCAGAGTTCCAGGGTGTAAGAAGACGAGGAGAAAGACTGCAGCAGCCATTCTAGGACTGCTCCAAGATTTGAGACGCCTTGAAAGACGATGATCGTGCTGTTGTGGACGAATCTCCGCCGGTCGCGGTTCCGACCCAATTTGAATCATTTCGCCGACTTACTTTGAACGGTTGGAAGGGTGTTGGAACGGTATCGGAATGGTATTGGAATGGTATTGGAATGGTATTGGAATGGTATTGGAATGGTATTGGAATGGCGGAATGGTACTGCAATGCTAGCTCTAGAGATACAAACTCAATGCTTTCAGAGCGCAAGTAGGGGCATAAGAAGTCTTGGGTAATTAAGGTAAAGGAAAATGGCACGGGTGGCAAATAAATCACGCTGAGCGCGAATCTTCTTGTAGCATGGCGACATCGTACCTAGTCCTAGGCCCCGTTACCCTTGCTCGTGTTTTTCGCGGTCCACCAGATATTCTCATTTCGTCGCAAACTTCTCCAGAAATTGCACCGACCGTCTGTCTGGTCGATGCATCCAGCCATGACAGTTGAGGGCGGGTCAAACTTTGCACATGTACTGTAATTTTCCACATCAGTTACCAAAATTAAGAATGTAACAGAACTTTCAAGGTACGAAATCGGTTTGACACGAGACTGTACATAAAAGGGCCCATTTCGGAAAAGTGCCCCAAGACGTGCGGAACACATCCGAAGGTTCGCCTCCCAGCTCGCCTCCCGTCAAAGTCGTCAAAATGTAACGCCCGATTTTCGCCATAACCGTCTCGCTATGAAATTACTTTCTTCGCCCCGCATGCGAAAGTCCTCGCAGAATGCGATAACTCTCCTTCCCAGGTACTGTACCTCGCAACGTTAATGTACCTCGTCAAAAGTCCGAACTGTAGAATCCGAACTGGACAGGAAACGTTAGGAGTAACCCTGAAGTACAGTCAAATATGACCTGTGTGTTGACGTAAATTTTACGGGAAAAAAACGGGAGTGTGCAAAGCTGGATCCGCCCATATTCCCCTCGATATGACGGAGCGACAGCCACGGCTGTTTCGCAACCAGCCAATCACGAGGCGGTGCAGGCTCGGTCAGCTGAAGTCCATCCAGTTGAGCACCTTCAGGTCAGGGCTCAGGTGGCATTTCCCATAGATTTCAGGTGTTTCTGTGTTTACAGCATAGCTCTCGCAAGGAACGGGAGGAACGGCCGAGGGGGAAGCGTGAGCGATGGGAGCAGAGCCAGGGAGTGACGGAAGCGGGAGAAGTGGCGGAAGCAAAGGGAGGGAAAAATACGACCGTCATTAAAAGGGTCTCGATAAGACATATTATCTTCAAATAGATACGTTCCATTCTCTGACCATAAGTAAATTACAACAAGCACTCCTCACCGAACACAAAAAAGGAAGATGCAATAATATTTATTGTTATCTTTTACTGATACTTCTTTTTTTTTCGCGCTGAAAAATTGCAATTTTCATGAGAGGGGAGAATTCAGACCAATCTTTAAGTTATACATCTTCAATTGTGTGTTTGAATGAAATTTAAAGAAAATAGTGTTTGTGCATCACCCAGTCTGGTTTTTTTTTTTTTTTTTTTTTTTTTTTTTTGGATGTAGATACATTGATGAAAACATAGGTACATCCGCAGTCGTAACTGGAGACATTGGTGGGCACACGTCGTGCTGACATGGAGCGAGATGCATCCCCCCTACGCCTTCTACGAGGGTTGATACAACGTCCTCGGGTTACGCCAGATAGATAGAAAAGCATCCGACCACCTGGCTGGTCCTTCCGCTGGGCAAATCTTTTGTAAGGCCCTCCTCTCATCGTCTGCCACCTGGGCTTACGCGTCGTAGCCCCCCTTGCCAATCTTGTCCTTAGCCGCCTCCCTGGTTCTGGCTGTCAGCACCACCCATGCATGCGTCATGAAGCCCAGCACCGCGTTTCGCCCCACCTTTTTCCTTTGGAATGGGTCCGCCCGCCACGCCGCATTGCAACGGGCCAGCCATATTTGTCACAGAACCGTCGCAATGAGAGTCATCTCAGGGAAGCCTGACGTGGTGCCGCCCTTCTCAAACAGCAGGTATTCGAGAGAGTTCGCTCTTCTGCCCGGGTTCATCAGCTCCAGGGATCGCACCAGCGCACCGATGACCGGTTGTATAACCACACAGCTGAATAGGCAGTGGTCGAGGGTTTCGTACCCTCCACAGTGCGGGCAGTCGATACTTTTCCACATGAAATCCAGCCTTCCCCCCACCTACAGGTTCATGCTGTGGGCTCTGAGCAGGACATCTCTCGCCTTCAGCGGAACCACCACCGAGTCCCTCCTCTCTATCGTTGCCTTCCAGTCGATCTTCCTTCCCCATACAGCTTCCCATTCACCTTGTCTTGTTGATGTCCCTGCTTTTTCGTCATCACCCACCGGACTTGCCGCAAAGGGACCAGCCCGTCCTTGTCTAAGAGTTTGCTTTTTTTTTAGCAGCTTTGTCCTCGGTACCCCCACCGGCCCTATCAGCTTCATATCCTATACCGCCACTAGCTGCACCCCGCATACTTCGAAACACGCCTTTGCGGGGCTCCTCGGGGCCTCCAGACTCCCACCCTCTTTGAGCCGTAGGTAAAAGGCCGTGACCTTAGTCTGATCCGGTCACCGTCCAGTAGGCTTTCTCTCCAGGCTGTCTCGTCAGCACGCTGATCACCGACGACGCCTTTTCGAGCGTCTGCACTGTCACTGGAGCCAGGACATTTCCTTCCATGCCGCCGGAAGCACCTCGTACGCCTTAACTGCCAGGGCTGCTGCTGCTTCATCCCCTAGCTCTGTCGTTAGCTCCTCTACACTCTTCGGTCTCCTACGGTCTCCTGGTAGATCAGTGAGCAGGACCCTCACCCTCAAGTTCATTATCCATTTCGACCCCTTCTGTAGTCCAAACGGGCTCTTACCTTTGTGCATCAGTTTCCTGTTGAAGCAGATCCACTCCTCGTCAACCTCCCATCGGCACGTCGGGTCCGGTAGGTCCGCAAAAGGGATTTTTTGGAACGCTTTCGCCGCTGCTTTCCATCTCTCACTCCCCCCCGGCCATTTCTTGATTACTGCAGGATATGCGTACCACGTTACAGTCCCTTGCGGGAGCTCTGCTGCCTCTTCTGCCAACCACCTCCGGACTCCGTCTGGTTCCGCCAGCAGCTTCCCCACTTTGCGGACCGCCAGCCCGTCAAGCCATATCTTCAGGTCGGCCAGACCTAGCCCGCTCTCCATCCTGGGTAGGCTGACCAGGTACGCGCTCCACAGTATGAATCTTCTCTCGTCTGTCGCCTCCCCCCCATAGACGAAATTGTGGCACGATTTTCTGATTTTGTCCCATGTTCCCTCCGGCGATAAGTATACATGCGCCTGGAACATCATGATTGGACGAACATAGCAGCTGACCACTGCCACTCTTACCATTGTCGTGAGGTATTGTGCTTCCCATCTCCCAAGTTCCTCCTTCACCCTCTCATAGGTCTTGTCCCACGACGGACCCGCGTCCCCATTCGGCATGATCCAGATCCCTAAGAGCCACTCCGGCTCTTCCTTCTCCGCCCACTTGAAGCTAAGATCTAGCGGTGCCTGCTTCCCGCGGTTGCAGCCCAGTGGCAGCACCACCGACTTTCCGCAGTTGACCTTCAACCCAGACTGTCTCCCGAAGGACTCCAGCATACTCTCCGACTCCTTCAGTTGTTCTTCCCCTTCAAGGAGGAAGGACGTGTCGTCTGCATATCCTATGTACGACAGCCGCTCCTCCCCTGGCGCTTCCATCCCTAGTTTTCTGCGTTGCGTCTCTCTGCATAGTGGTTCCAGGGCGCATAGGAAGAGGTAAGAGGCCAGTGGACATCCTTGCCGCACCCCCCTCTCCATTTCTGTGGAGAATAGAGCGAGAATGAATGAACTATCAGTGAAGTGAGTACAAATAGCAAAACCCTAATTGGGTTGTACCCCCTATGGTATACCCCACTGTAGCCTACACAACAGCATAAGCTACATATATGTTCTGACAATTTCCACCTTCTCACTGAGCCATCACTTAATCGCCACTTTCGTCCCGGCGTTCTTGTGCAGGCTTTCCGTCCATTTGACAAAATTTTCCTCGAGACGGTGTCATACGCCTTTTGGAAGTCCACCAGCAGCAGTAGCCAGTCTTTCCCCCGATTGTTTGCCGCGTTGACCACCACCGACACCTCTTCCGCCAAACTCCTCCCGGGTAAGAAGCCATGTTGTCCCTTTGCCAACACCTTCCCCTTTGGCTTGTAGAGCACGCTAAGCAGCGTGATCGGCCAGTAGTTCCCCAATTGATCTCTGCCCCCTTTTTTGTGCAGTAAAACCATGATCGACGTTGCCAGGCTGTCAGGGAGGTCCTTCCCCACCTCGAAATCATGGACGAATTGCATCACCTTGCTGCCGAGCAGCCCCCAGTGTGTCGCGAAAAACTCCGCCGGTAGACCATCCTGCCCCAGGGATCTTCCCTTTGGCAGTGACGCAATCGCCTCATTTACCTCCTCCTCGGACCAGCTCCTTCCCAGCTCCTTCGCATCGTCCTCCGAGAAGCGCGGCCCTTGCGAAAAACTCTCCCAGTCTACCTCCTCCTTCAGCTCCACATTCATGAAAGCGGTCCCAAAATGGTCCTCGACCGCCTTCAATACCTCTCGCGTGCCTCGGTACATCACCCCCCGGTGGTTGACTTCCTGCACCGTCGTGCTCTTCTTCCATATCCTTATCTTAGCTGTCAGGTATGGCGAGGGCACCTCCCCGCTCAACTCCACATTTAGGTCCGCCAGCACTTGCAGCCTCTTTCTATCCCTTTCTAGGTAGGCCTCCAGCTTGGCCTCCGCCCTGATCGACCTGTCTTGCAGCCTCTTCCTCGACGGTCGCTGCATCACTGCATGTCGGAGCACTTCCACCTCCTTCTCTAGGTGTGTGATTGTTGCTCGGATCCATTTCTTCTCCCTGGTGTGTGCCCGCAGCCCTCTCATGACCAGCTGCAGTGTCTTCTCTAATCCGCTGTCCGGTTCGCTTTCCAGTTTTTTAAGGATGCTCTCCGTTATCGACTTAACTCCTTTTTTGTTCACCTGTTTTGCTTGCAACCTCCACATCCACGCCCCCCTCTCCTGCGACACCATCAGAGAGAAGTCCACCCATATCGCAAACCAATGGTCAGACAACGACTTCGGGACCCGAACGTGCTTTGCCTCTGTCACCAGGCTCATCGCCGATAATGAAACTAGCGCTCTGTCAATACACGAGCTGGTCTGCGACGCCCACAAAAAAAAATGTGTATTCGCGCCGGGACAGATGAAGCGCGCGGAAGGTATCCCGGAGGTCGTGCGCCGGCCAGAACCTTCTCAGCCTCTGGTCCTCCGAAACTAAGCCAGCACGCGACGAGCGGTCCAGGTCTGGGTCCTCCACCAGGTTTAGGTCCCCCATCAGCATCAAGTGAGCCGAGGGTGGCTACGCCTGAACGAAGGGGGTCATAAAATTGGTGAGGAACGTAGCCCTTGTCCCCGCTTGTGCCGGTAGGTACGCCGCTATCAATCTGAACTCCAATTGCGCACAACTAACCGTAACCCTGATCAGCTTGCCCGATTTGTGCTTGATGACCTCTTTAAACCGTATCCCTTCTACAAAGAAGAGAATCCCCACCCGTCCTGCTTTCTGGCTCAGGTCGACAGCCGCCATCGCTGATGGCCGCAGTTGCGTCCAGAAATTGTGGTCCTCCCCTACGCGTGCGTCTGTCAAAATCATGATGTCAACCGTTTTTTTAATCCTATTTCTGCTTTTGCTCCTATTTCCGTTGCTTCCCAGGCCATTGACGCTGACCTCGCATAGTGTGATGTTGGTGATGGTGTTATCCATTAATCAGCCACATTGGAGCCCCTTCGCATCCACGTGCTTAAGAACAAACACCAACTGATTTCTGGCTGCCTGATTACCTTCTACCGCTACAAAGTCCAAAAAACCCGCCAGCCTCCGCCAGCCTTCGCTTGTCTCGTATATGCCTGCTAGCCAGCGCCGTTGCTATCAAAGTCCCAACTCTTTGCGGATCGCAATAAGGTTCACTTTCCCCCTGCTCGCCCGAGTAGCTCCTCCCCCTTTCAGTGTTGTGCTGGACGGAGCGCACATGGGATAGCGCCTGGGCGAAATTGGAGCCGCGTGCCTTCTCGCATGCTTCCTGGACACAGATCCAGTCTTCCCTGCTGCCACCCGTTGAGATCAGGGACATCGCCGGGTCCCTAAGGATCTTCTTCATCGTCGCCGATACCCGATGCGACGCAGATGCCCAAGCAGGGCGGAGAGCGGTTGTCAACATATCAGGTCTAGACCCCGACAACCTGCAATACAAGGTTAGCGGTTCTCCGAGTACCGTTGATGTTATGAATGCGCTACAAGGTAAGATTCCACTTTGAGATGTTCTCCTGCCTGTCTGTGACATAGTCATCATGCAGCTTCGTGAAATGCATGCCGTTGCAAAAATCACACTTTAAAGCTGGAAAATGGACGAGTAGCTGCTTATGGTGAATGTTGTCGTACAACATGTGCCACCACCGATACTTATCCTCTGGATGCACTTTCACCAGCCCCTCAATCTTGTCCGTATCAGCCCCTCTCACAGGGTCCACCACCCGGTGGAAAGCAGCACCATGCCGAAAAGGGGGGTGGCCACGCTTCTCCAGCGGGGTCTTCAACAGGAACTTGTAGACCATATCTGATGAGATCTCCACCGGCACACTCTTCAGCAATACCTCGATGGCATCCGGGTTCCGAGCTCGCTCCTTGACGTACAGCGAGTTCTCCGGGTGCGGCTAGTCCAGAAAAAATATTTTCATTGTTTGCGCAGATATGCTCCAGGCGACGACGCCAGACATAGTTCGCATACGCAGCCATTTGGAAGGTAACATGCATCCTCCCGAATCTCTTCTTCGACTAGTACGGGACTTCCTTCACCTAGTTGTAAGGGATCAACAGGGTGAGCGTGAAACCAGCAAGCGCCGCGACTTTGCCTGCACGCACCGGGTCCAGCCTTTCTTCGGGATCATCACTCAAATATCCGTCATCCTCGTCTTCCTCATCTTCCTCTTCTTCCACAGGATCCGCGTGAGCTCGGCTGGCAGGCGCGTCCGACTCAATATCCTTCTCCTTGCCTTCCGTTGCAGTACTTGCCTCCCCAGGTTCCTTGTCCTCAAGGGGAGCAAAGCTCAACGAGGCGAGTTTCTTCTCCAGCGACACACGATTATCATCCGCAAAAGGACCGACCGCCTCCTTCAGCATCAGTTTCGGCGTAGCAGGCTCGGAGTGGTGACCCTTATTCAGTGTCGATCTCTCCTTGTCACCGGACTTCTTCGGCGGACGACCCATTGGGCAATGATGATGCGCAAAAGGCAAAAGCCTTGGCGATGGTTGCAGAGGTCTGAGCACAACTCCTTTTGAATGTTGACGCTCCGGCTCAGGCCGAGCTTTCTTCCTGGGTTTCCCATGGGGACAGTCTCGGGAAGCTGTTAGAGCAGACCGTACAAAAAATTCTAGAGTTGTGTAAAACCAATGCCAGATGCAGACTTGCAATAGGTAGGATAACTCCTTAGCACCTTGCGATAACCAGCAGCTCCTATGCTGACATGTGTGTCAATCATTAAAACCCGCAGGTCACAGCTTTCAAGCTTAGGAAGGTTGGTTGGGTAATTGAATGCTATTGGCCCGCGAACCAGCACATTTCCGAAATTGGAATGTCGAGTGTCGCTGACAACAGGGGTCTCGCCAGGGTTACCCTGCTTCAAAAATGAGTCGTCCAACCAGGTCTGTGCACGTGTGTCTCTTCTGCAGCTCGGACTTCACGTGGGCGAGTCCAGCAGTGCCAGCAGTGGGAAAGACCAAGTCGTCGACGTACACGAGAATGTAGAACGGCGGCAAAGAGGTGTCGGTGCGCAGAAACAGCGACGGGTCGGCAGTAGAGGGAGCAAACCCAAGAGCCGCAAGCGTAGTCCTCAGTGTGTCGTGCCACTGACGCGGTGCCTGGCGGAGACCGTAGACTGGCCGCCGGGGGCTCCACTGGGTGCCAGGAGGAAAAGTCCCAGTGAAGCCAGGTGGGCGGCGCAGCCAGATCTCCTCGTACAGGCTACCCTGCAAGAAAGCAGTGCTGAAGTCAAGAGAGTGAAGCTCGTAGTCGCGCTGAGCGGCTATGTGCAGCAGCACCCGAAGAGTGGTCATCTTCGGGGTGGGAGAGAAGGTCTGAAAGTAGTCAACTCCCTGCCGCTGACTGAAGCCACGAGCCACGTACCGCGTGTTGAAGACAGGTGGAGAACCCGGCGGCCGCTTCACCCTGAAGATCCACATGCCACTGACGATGTTCGCCCCAGGTGGGGGAACCGCGTCAACGTAGGTGCGTGTGGACTTCCAGGAAGCCATCTCTGCATCCATAGCTGCCTGCCACTGAGAGGAGTAGGGACCCTCTACGGCCTCCGCGTAAGAGCGCGGAGTCGGGATGTCAAGTGCATCCGGGTCTCCCTCAGGGGTAAGCAGTACGGACACGAGAGGTGAAGCAGCAGCCAGACACTGGAACTCCTCCTGCCTGTCCTCAAGGACGTCCGTGCCAAGGGCACACTCACCCCCGACAGACGGAGGACAGACAGACGCAGACTCAGAGACAAGACTAGCAGCGTAGTCTAGACGACAGCGAGCAGCAAAGTTGACGAGCTCAGCAACTAGGGCAGACGCAGCAGTGGACTCAAAAGAAGGGTCAGTGACGACAGTAGCAAGGAGACGCGTGACACTAGGACTGGCAGCACGAAGAGAGTCCGACTCCGGGTCGGCGAGTGCAGGAAGAGAAGACTCAGGTGGAGAAGGCAAAGGGGCACGCAGAGGAGCAGTGGACGGACGCAGAGACATCCGGTGCGTGCCAGGGACAGGAGGAGGACGCTGACGCGAACCGCGACCACTAGTGCGAGCAGCACGGACAGGCGACGCAGGGCGAGACGCAGGTTCACTACGCTCAGCAACACCTCCAGTAGGACCAGTGTAGGGAGACGGAGCAGGCAGTGGGGAGACCGGCTGTAACTGTAACTGCGACGGGACAGGCTGTGGACACTCTAAGGGAGGAGGAGGACCAGTAGAAGACGGGAGACCAAGAACCTGCTGAAGGAGCGGAACGAAGTACGGCCGAGGTCGCGCGGCGACTCCAGACACAGTAGGGACAGCACCAGCACCCCCAGTGGCAGCATCAGCACCACTAGCAGCTCCAGCTCCAGTACCTCCAGCAGCACCAGTAGTACCCCCAGCAGGACCGCCTCCAGGACCGACAGCAGTAGCCTCCGCGCCAACACCCGCAGCAGCTCCAGCTCCAGAAGTACCCGCAGGCCCAGCAGCTCCAGTACTCCCAGTACGAGCACCTCCGAGACCCGTGGCACCAGCTCCCTCAGCAGCAACAGAACCTCCAGTAGCCGCAGCACCTCCAGCTCCAGCAGCTTGCCTCCAGCGCCGGGTAAACCACTCACGCAGCTCCTGTGGAGAGAGTGGCTCTCGGCAAGACGAAGCACCCGGAGAACCGCCAGGCACAGCACCAGCAGGCCCAGCTCCCTCAGGCTCCGCACCCCCAGGCTCAGTACCTCCACGCGTAGCACCCCCAGGCTCAGCACCCCCAGGCTCAGCACCCCCAGGCATAGCACCCCCAGGCTCAGCACCCCCAGACTCAGCACCCCCAGTAGTAGCACCCTCAGGCTCAGCACCCCCAGGCGTAGCACCCACACGCTCAGCACCCCCAGAGTCAGCACCCCCAAGCTCAGCACCCTCAGCAGCACTAGAGTCACGAGTAACCTCGACAGGCTCGACTGCGTCTACCTGGGACACACCTGAAGGGGCAGAACCTTGAGGGGGGAGGGGGTCTACCGGGGGGGGACCTGGCACAGGGAAGAGCGGTGGCGGGGGGAGGGACGTAGTGCGGTAGGGGAAGAGGTGGTAGTAGGGGACCGACTCGTCAAACGTGACGTCCTGGAAGGACAGAACACGACGAGAGGTGGGGTGGTAGAACTGCCACCCTGGCGCGTCAGGGGGGAAGCCAAGGAAGACGCAAGGAGCAGCACGAGGGGACAGCTTGTCCGCAGACAAGTCGCGGACAAACGCCCGAGATCCCCAGACACGTAACGCAGACGCATCGCCTACCTTTCCCGTCCACAGCAAAGCTGGGGAGGTCTCCGGCATGGAAACCCTGGGGTGAAGGTTGATCTGATGCGCCGCGTACCGAACCGCAAACGGCGACAGAAAATGGGGGGCAGCCGCATGCATCATGGACGCACGGGCGACGTCCATGACCATGCCAATACGGCGCTCAGCAATCCCATTTTGCTGTGGAGAGTCCGGAAGCGTAAAGGTCTGGCGGATGCCTCGCGCACGACAGTAGGCTCGCAGAAGGCCAGAGGAGAACTCTCCGCCTCTGTCAGAGTGCAGTCGCAGAACAGGAAAGTCCGAGCCGAAGCTCCTCCTAAGCTGGAGACGAGCTGCGCGGATCCAGTCGATCAACACCTCAGTGACATCACCCTTGCTGCGCAAGGGGAAGACTGTGGTGTAACGCGAGTAGTCGTCAACCACCAGCAGGAAATAGCGCTCGTGACCCTGTCCGCGGACGCGGGCCGGGCCCCACACGTCCATGTGAAGCGTCTGCAGCGGGGCCTCTGTCGGGGGAAACTGAGAGGAGTGAGGGGCAGCCCGCAGCTGCCCCTCGACACAGGGGACGCAGGTGGGGCCAGGCCCCGGAGGAAGGGGAGGGAGGGACCGGGGAAGACCAGAGACAAGGACACGGGAGGCCATGCCTTGGAGATGAGGCACGGAGGGGTGACCAAGGCGGTGGTGCCAGAGGAGAGTCTCGTGAGACAGGAGGCGACACGAGCAGGGGGCAGACTCAGGACCAGACCTGGACGCTGCAGCAAACACCTGACCCGACGCAGCTACCTGACCAGATGCAGGGACAGGAGGAGACTCAGTGGTCTGGGTGTACAGGCTCGACCCCGGCCGACGCGTAAACGTGGCCAGGTGCCGGCCTGTGCGAGCGTCAGAGCAGAAAGTCACCCGCTGACTCGTAGGAGTAAACTGGTGAACCCCCGCATCCTGTAGGTCAGCACCACTCACCAAGTTCGTAGAGAACGAGGGGAGGTACATACCAGACAAGAAGCCAAAGGGGGCCGCCGGACACGGGAGGACAGTGGAGAAGTGAGAAAGGACAGGACCCCGAGAGGGGTCTGCCAGGGAGACTGCAACCGGCCGACCAAGCGGCGTGAGTGTGGTGCGGTCTCGAAAGAAGGAGCGAGAAGCTCCTGAGTCAAGTGTGAAGGTGAGGGAGGCCGAAGCCGACGCGGTACCTGCGAGCGCAGACTCACCAGCACCTGAGGACGCAGACGCACTGGCACCTAGAGCAGCAGCCTCACTGGCACCTAGAGCAGCAGCCTCACCAGTACCTAGAGCAGCAGTCTCAATGCCCAGGTCGGGCGGGAAACACCGGTAACAGTCACCCTCATCACTAATGGACACAGCATACATGGCAGAAAGGATAGCATCAAAATGAAGATCATAGATGGCAACTCCCGCCCTAGACAGCTCGCCCCAGCGAGGGATCTCTGTGGCCTCAGGGAACTGGTGACGCCATGCGTCCGTCAGGCGGCCAAAGCAGCGCTGGGTGGGGTGCGTACCCCCACACTGCTCACCCGCACGGTCGCCGGTGCGCAGGACGTAGGTGCACGGACCAAAGCCCCCACCCCGCTGGCGTGCAGTGTACCACTCATGGAGCTGCTGAGGGGACAAGGTCTCATGACCGCGCTGCTGCTGCTGGCGCGGACCACCACCGGAGCCACTCCTCTGCGTAGACCCGCGACCAGCTGCACCGCCACCCCGGCCGCCTCCGCCGCCTCCGCCGCCTCCGCTACTACCGCCGCCTCCGCCGCCTCCTCCACCGCCACCACCTCCGCCACCTCCGCTCCCACCGCCACCGCCGCCGCCGCCTCCGCCTCCACTGCCGCCACCGACACCTCCACCCCCACCACCACTCCCACCGCCACCCCCACTCCCCCCGCCGCCTCCACCTCCACCTCCACCGCCCCCACTCGCTCCTCCAGCGCCCCTGCCCCCCTTGCCCCTGCCAGAGCGGCGTCTCCCGCTAGAGGCAGACGCCGCACTGACCGACTCAAGACCAAGGAGGTCGGCCGCAGCAGCAAAGGCAACAGAGGGCAGAAGGGGGGAGGGGGAACACCCCTCAAAGATGGGGGTGCGCGGGTCACCACGAGAGGCCCCTA